TGTACATTTTCTAGGTCAGCAATTTCACCTGCCTTGAAAGGTGCTGTTAGTGTGCAGCAATATTCCAGCCTAGATAGAGCAAGTGACCTGAAGAGTTTCATCATGGGCTTTGCCTCCCTAGTTTTGAAGGTTCTCATTATCCATCCTGTCATTTTTCTAGCAGATGTGATTGATACAATGTTATGGTCCTTGAATGTGAGATCCTCCGACATGATCACTCCCAGGTCTTTGACGTTGGTGTTTCGCTCTATTTTGTGGCCAGAATTTGTTTTGTACTCTGATGAAGATTTAATTTCCTCGTGTTTACCATATCTGAGTAATTGAAATTTCTCATCGTTGAACTTCATATTGTTTTCTGCAGCCCACTGAAAGATTTGGTTGATGTCCGCCTGGAGCCTTGCAGTGTCTGCAATGGAAGACACTGTCATGCAGATTCGGGTGTCATCTGCAATGGAAGACACGGTGCTGTGGCTGACATCCTTGTCTATGTCAGATATGAGGATGAGGAACAAACCATACCCCCGGCCGGGGGTATGGTTTGTTTGCAATCGTGTCATTACGATTTCTTGAGTCATGAGGAACAAGATGGGAGCGAGTACTGTGCCTTGTGGAACAGAGCTTTTCACCGTAGCTGCCTCGGACTTTACTCATTTGACGACTACTCTCTGTGTTCTGTTAGTGAGGAAATTATAGATCTATCGACCGACTTTCCCTGTTATTCCTTTAGCACGCATTTAGTGCGCTATTACGTCATGGTCACACTTGTCGAAGGCTTTTGCAAAGTCTGTATATATTGCATCTGCATTCTTATTGTCTTCTAGTGCATTTAGGACCTTGTCGTAGTGATCCAATAGTTGAGACAGACAGGAGCGACCTGTTCTAAACCCATGTTGCCCTGGGTTGTGTAAATGATGGGTTTCTAGATGAGTGGTGATCTTGCTTCTTAGGACCCTTTCAAAGATTTTTATGATATGGGATGTTAGTGCTATCGGTCTGTAGTTCTTTGCTGTTGCTTTACTGCCCCCTTTGTGGAGTGGGGCAATGTCTGTTGTTTTTAGTAACTGTGGGACGACCCCCATGTCCATTCTCCCTCTCCATAGGATGGAAAAGGCTCGTGATAGGGGCTTCTTGCAGTTCTTGATGAACACGGAGTTCCATGAGTCTGGCCCTGGGGCAGAGTGCATGGGCATGTCATTTATCGCCTGTTCGAAGTCATCTGGCGTCAGGATAACATCGGATAGGCTTGTGTTAACCAAATTTTGTGGCTCTCTCATAAAAAATTCATTTTGATCTTCGACTCTCAGTCTGGTTAGCGGCTTGCTAAAAACTGAGTCATATTAGGACTTGAGTAGCTCACTCATTTCCTTGCTGTCATCTGTGTAGGACCCATCTTGTTTAAGTAGGGGCCCAATACTGGACGTTGTTCTCGACTTTGATTTGGCATAGAAGAAATACTTTGGGTTTCTTTCGATTTCATTTATGGCTTTTAGTTCATCCCGCGATTCCTGACTCCTATAAGATTCCTTTAGCTTGAGTTCGATGCTTGCTATTTCTCTGACCAATGTCTCCCTACGCATTTCAGATATATTGACCTCTTTTAGCCGCTCTGTTATTCTTTTCCGTCGCCTGTAAAGGGAGCGCCTGTCTCTTTCTATTTTACATCTACTCCTTTTTCTTAGAGGAATAAGCCTTGTGCATACATCGAGTGCCACCAAGTTAATCTGTTCTAGGCATAAGTTGGGGTCTGTGTTGCTTAGTATATCTTCCCAGCTTATATCGGTTAGGACTTGGTTTACTTGGTCCCACTTTATGTTTTTGTTATTGATGTTGAATTTGGTGAATGCTCCCTCGTGACTAGTCTCATTATGTCGGTCTGGGGCTCCACGCATACATGTCTGAACCTCAATTATGTTGTGATCTGAGTATATTGTTTTTGATATGGTGACATTTCTTATCAGATCATCATTGTTAGTGAAGATGAGGTCTAGTGTATTCTCCAGTGTAGTAGGCTCTATTATTTGCTGGTTTAAATTGAATTTTGTGCAGATATTTAAAAGCTCGTGTGAGTGTGAGTTTTCATCAGAGCTGCCTCCTGGTGTTATTACTGCAACAATATTATTTGCTACATTCCTCCATTTTAGGTGCCTTAAGTTGAAATCCCCAAGGAGCAAGATGTTGGGTGCAGGAGCTGGAAGATTTTCCAGACAGTGGTCAATTTTTAACAGCTGTTCCTGGAATTGCTGGGATGTTGCATCCGGAGGCTTGTAGACTACCACAATGACTAGGTTTTGGTTCTCGACCTTTACTGCTAAAACTTCCACTACATCATTTGAGGCATTAAGCAGTTCTGTGCAAACAAGTGACTCTGCAATGTACAGGCCAACCCCCCCTCCCCTTTTGCCTGTTCACTCTGTCACATCTGTATAGGTTGTAACCTGGGATCCATATTTCGTTGTCCAAGTGATCCTTTATGTGGGTCTCAGTGAAAGCCTTGAACATTGCCTTTGCCTCTGCAAGCAGTCCACGGATGAAAGGTATTTCGTTGTTTGTTGCTGGCTTTAGACCCAGTATATTTGCAAAGAAGAATGTCATCGGACTGGTGGTATTGTTGGTACCGGGGGGGATTTTTTTTCCGGCATTAGTATCTGTATCTGTTGGTTTGGAATGGAGGCCATCGACTGTGGTTCCACTCCAGGAATGACTGGATTTGGTGTACGATTTCTGCCATTTCCTGCCAGTTTTTTTTCCTTTCTGGCACTAAAAAACCTCTCCCTCTTGAGTGGCTGTGGCTACCCAGGTTTTCCCATGGCCTGGATGTTTTGTATCTTTTTGTCCCCTTTAGATGGTGTGCCTGGCAATTTAAGTTATAGCACAGTCTTTCCTGTACTGAAGAGGTACACAGTTCAGGGTGAAAAAGCTTACAGGAAGGGAGTTTGCATTTTCCTGTTGTCATATGGGCATGGCATTTTCTAGAGTGGTCATAGTCGCACGTCCCGTCTGTTTTTCCAGATTTCCCATGCCTGCAGATACCAAGTGCATAGTATGTGCACAGGCTTGGTTTCCGTTTGCCTTGGGTTTCTGTGACTGTATTCCCTGTTGGTGCATGTTTCCCTGTCTTATTCCTATCCTCCCTAGCACCAACAATGGAGCTCCCACCAGTTGTTTTTGGTAACATATCCTCACTATTGCTAGTGGAGTCCTCTTGTTTGCTATTTCCTGTGGTATTTCTAGTTTGCAATATTGGTTTTATCTTATCTTTGACTACACTTGTTTCCCTACTACGGCTCCTGTCCCCTATGAGGTCATTTATATGTATTCCTTCCTGCGTATAATTCCCGACTACCTTGACAAAATCTCCAGCTTCACCATTACTGTCTCCCAAGACAGCACCTCCAGCTTCACCATTACTGTCTCTGGGTACTCTTCTTGGTTAACATATCAACTTTATCATGGAGTAATCCAATGTGTGATGGGATCCATAGCAATTGTACATTAATTCCTTTGTCCCTAATTTTTGAGTATCTATACCTGGCTTCTCCAATGAGCATGTTGTTGGAGTCATTATATGAGTCAAGAGCCTTCAGTGATGACATACAATCAGTAATGATGATAGAGCCATCACTGAAGGCTCTTGACTCATATAATGACTCCAACAACATGCTCATTGGAGAAGCCAGGTATAGATACTCAAAAATTAGGGACAAAGGAATTAATGTACAATTGCTATGGATCCCATCACACACTGGATTACTCCTTCATGATAAAGTTGATATGTTAGCCAAGAAGAGTACCCAGAAGGAGAATGTAGAATATAACTTTGGTATAACTGTGTCGCTTCTAAACTGTTGTGTTCTAAGCACCTCTGCAAAAACAGTGATTATGTGCGAGTGAGGTGAAAGTGTTGAATGATGATGAAAGTATTTTCTTTTTGGGGATTTTCTTTCTTTTTTGGGTCACCCTGCCTTCGTGGGAGACGGCCGACTTGTCAAAAAAAAAAAAAAAAAAAAAAATTGTATTTATATAAAGAACTCCCAGAAGCTAAGCAACATTCACAATCCTGACAGACGACACTAGCATGAGAGACAACATTAGCATGATAGACGATGCTAGCATGATAGACGACGCTAGCATGATAGACGACGCTAGCATGATGGACGATGCTAGCATGATAAGTCATAAGCTTATATACTTGAGCAACAATAGCAGGAGCAAGGGTGGAATTAATAATTGGGCAGCAATGCTCGTCAATGCCACCCAGGTCTCCCACCTCTCCCCGCCAGGTGCCACCCACGTCTCCCACCTCTCCCCACCAGGTGCCACCCACATCTCCCCACCAGGTGCCACCCAATGTCTCCCATCTCTCCCTACCAGGTGCCACCCAGGTCTCCCACCTCTCCCTACCAGGTGCCACCCAGGTCTCTCACCTCTCCCTACCAGGTGCCACCCAGGTCTCCCACCTCTCCCCACCAGGTCTCCCACCTCTCCCCACCAGGTCTCCCACCTCTCCCCACCAGGTCTCCCACCTCTCCCCACCAGGTGCCATCCAGATCTCCCACCTCTCCTCACCAGGTGCCACCCAGGTCTCCCACCTCTCCTCACCAGGTGCCACCCAGGTCTCCCACATCTCCTCACCAGGTGCCACCCAGGTCTCCCACCTCTCCTCACCAGGTGCCACCCAGGTCTCCCACATCTCCTCACCAGGTGCCACCCAGGTCTCCCACAGCTCCTCACTAGGTGCCACCCTGGTCTTCCCTCTCCTCACTAGGTGCCACCCAGGTCTCCCACCTCTCCTCACCAGGCGCCACCCAGGTCTCCCACCTCTCCTCACCAGGTGCCACCCAGGTCTCCCACCTCTCCCCACCAGGTGCCACCCAGGTCTCCCACCTCTCCCCACCAGGTGCCACCCAGGTCTCCCACCTCTCCCCACCAGGTGCCACCCAGGTCTCCCACCTCTCCCCACCAGGTGCCACCCAGGACCTACTTCTTACATACGGGCATACCTTTTGGAAGAGCTGTGTACTGTGAGGTACAGTATGCTGGTGAAGGTGGATGGCCCTCTTCTCCTCCTGTGTCAGTGGCGTCACTTCCTGTGGCAGACTCTCACTAAGGCGACCCCTCACACTCAAGTAGAACTTGAAGAAAAAACTAAAAAAAAAAAATTAACCATCAGGTTGTATAACAAAATGTATTTTTTTCATAAGTTACATTTGAGTAAGAATGTGACAACACTAGTTATTACAATAATAACAAGAAATCATAAACCTGTATGTAGTGTTGGTGCTACCTTCATGGAGTGTAATGTACCAGTAACTAGTCTTGAAGACTCTTCTACTCTTAGCCTGGCCTGATGCCAGCTTTCTGTTGACCGTTTGGTCATCCATGCTGTTTGTGCTAGTGGATCGAAGGCCAACTGGGTGATGGCATGCTCATATTCCCTACCTGAGTGTGTGAAAGCATGCTAGTACTCCCTGAGTGTGTGAAGGCACGCTTTTACCTCCTATCTGATGGCGAGGACACATGTACTTCACTATGACCTACCTGAGTGTGAGGGCACGTCTGTATTCCACCATGCCCCCAGGGGCAGAAGGGTCCAATAGCAGGTCTTGTAGTAGGAGAGATGTGGCAGCTTCCAGCAGTGATGAGTCCCAGCGACGACCTACCAATTCCTACAGGCAAACAATCATTTTAAAATCTGGCTAAAAATCTTACAGCTTAATTTTTTTTTACTGTGACTAATAACAGGCAAACATCAATATTATCTGATATTCTGGCTGATGCTCTTACACGAACATGTTCCTGTGAATGCACACGCGCACGCACACGCGCACGCACACACGCACATGCACGCACGCGCACGCACGCACACACACACGCACGCATGCACACACACACACACGCACACTCGTGAATTAAGTATACCTGGAGTTTACCTGGAGAGAGTTCCGGGGGTCAACGCCCCCACGGCCCGGTCTGTGACCAGGCCTCCTGGTGGATCAGAGCCTGATCAACCAGGCTGTTCCTGCTGGCAGCACGCAAACCAACGTACGAGCCACAGCCCGGCTGGTCAGGAACCGACTTAAGGTGCTTGTCCAGTGCCAGCTTGAAGACTGCCAGGGGTCTGTTGGTAATCCCCCTTATGTATGCTGGGAGGCAGTTGAACAGTCTCGGGCCTCTGACACTTATTGTATGGTCTCTTAACGTGCTAGTGACACCCCTGCTTTTCATTGGGGGATGTTGCATCGTCTGCCAAGTCTTTTGCTTTCGTAGCGAGTGATTTTCGTGTGCAAGTTCGGTACTAGTCCCTCTAGGATTTTCCAGGTGTATATAATCATTTATCTCTCCCGCCTGCGTTCCAGGGAATACAGGTTCAGGAACCTCAAGCGCTCCCAGTAATTGAGGTGTTTTATCTCCGTTATGCGCGCCGTGAAGGTTCTCTGTACATTTTCTAGGTCGGCAATTTCACCTGCCTTGAAAGGTGCTGTTAGTGTGCAGCAATATTCCAGCCTAGATAGAACAAGTGACCTGAAGAGTGTCATCATGGGCTTGGCCTCCCTAGTTTTGAAGGTTCTCATTATCCATCCTGTCATTTTTCTAGCAGATGCGATTGATACAATGTTATGGTCCTTGAAGGTGAGATCCTCCGACATGATCACTCCCAGGTCTTTGACGTTGGTGTTTCGCTCTATTTCGTGGCCAGAATTTGTTTTGTACTCTGATGAAGATTTAATTTCCTCGTGTTTACCATATCTGAGTAATTGGAATTTCTCATCGTTGAACTTCATATTGTTTTCTGCAGCCCACTGAAAGATTCGGTTGATGTCCGCCTGGAGCCTTGCAGTGTCTGCAACGGAAGACACTGTCATGCAGATTCGGGTGTCATCTGCAAAGGAAGACACGGTGCTGTGGCTGTCATCCTTGTCTATGTCGGATATGACGATGAGGAACAAGATGGGAGCGAGTACTTTGCCTTGTGGAACAGAGCTTTTCACCGTAGCTGCCTCGGACTTTACTCTGTTGACGACTACTCTCTGTCTTCTGTTAGTGAGGAAATTATAGATCCATCGACCGACTTTTCCTGTTATTCCTTTAGCACGCATTTTGTGCGCTATTACGCCATGGTCACACTTGTAGAAGGCTTTTGCAAAGTCTGTATATATTACATCTGCATTCTTTTTATCTTCTAGTGCATTTAGGACCTTGTCGTAGTGATCCAGTAGTTGAGACAGACAGGAGCGACCTGTTCTAAACCCATGTTGCCCTGGGTTGTGTAACTGATGGGTTTCTAGATGGGTGGTGATCTTGCTTCTTAGGACCCTTTCAAAGATTTTTATGATATGGGATGTTAGTGCTATCGGTCTGTAGTTCTTTGCTGTTGCTTTACTGCCCCCTTTGTGGAGTGGGGCTATGTCTGTTGTTTTTAGTAACTGTGGGACGAGACCCGTGTCCATGCTCCCTCTCCATAGGATGGAAGAGGCTCGTGATAGGGGCTTCCTGCAGTTCTTGATGAACACGGAGTTCCATGAGTATGGCCCTGGGGCAGAGTGCATGGGCATGTCATTTATCGCCTGTTCGAAGTCATTTGGCGTCAGGATAACATCGGATAGGCTTGTGTTAACCAAATTTTGTGGCTCTCTCATAAAAAATTAATTTTGATCTTCGACTCTCAGTCTGGTTAGCGGCTTGCTAAAAACTGAGTCATATTGGGACTTGAGTAGCTCACTCATTTCCTTGCTGTCATCTGTGTAGGATCCATCTTGTTTAAGTAGGGGTCCAATACTGGATGTTGTTCTCGACTTTGATTTGGCATAGGAGAAGAAATACTCTGGGTTTCTTTCGATTTCATTTATGGCTTTTAGTTCTTCCCCCGATTCCTGACTCCTATAAGATTCCTTTAGCTTGAGTTCGATGCTTGCTATTTCTCTGACCAGTGTCTCCCTACGCATTTCAGATATATTGACCTCTTTTAGCCGCTCTGTTATTCTTTTCCGTCGCCTGTAAAGGAAGCGCCTGTCTCTTTCTATTTTACATCTACTCCTCCTTTTTCTTAGAGGAATAAGTCTTGTGCATACATCGAGTGCCACCAAGTTAATCTGTTCTAGGCATAAGTTGGGGTCTGTGTTGCTTAGTATATCTTCCCAGCTTATATCGGTTAGGACTTGGTTTACTTGGTCCCACTTTATGTTTTTGTTATTGAAGTTGAATTTGGTGAATGCTCCCTCGTGACTAGTCTCATTATGTCTGTCTGGGGCTCCACGCATACATGTCTGAACCTCAATTATGTTGTAATCTGAGTATATTGTTTTTGATATGGTGACATTTCTTTTCAGATCATCATTGTTAGTGAAGATGAGGTCTAGTGTATTCTCCAGTCTAGTAGCCTCTATTATTTGCTGGTTTAAATCGAATTTTGTGCAGAGATTTGAAAGCTCGTGTGAGTGTGAGTTTTCATCAGAGCTGCCTCCTGGTGTTGTTTCTGCAACAATATTATTTGCTATATTCCTCCATTTTAGGTGCCTTAAGTTGAAATCCCCCAAGAGCAAGATGTTGGGTGCAGGAGCTGGAAGATTTTCCACACAGTGGTCAATTTTTAACAGCTGTTCCTGGAATTGCTGGGATGTTGCATCCCGAGGCTTGTAGACTACCACAATGACTAGGTTTTGGTTCTCGACCTTTACTGCTAAAACTTCCACTACCTCATTTGAGGCATTTAGCAGTTCTGTGTAAACAAGTGACTCTGCAATGTACAGGCCAACCCCCCCTTCTTGCCTGTTCACTCTGTCACATCTGTATAGGTTGTAACCTGGGATCCATATTTCGTTGTCCAAGTGATCCTTTATGTGGGTCTCAGTGAAAGCCGCGAACATTGCCTTTGCCTCTGCAAGCAGTCCACGGATGAAAGGTATTTTGTTGTTTGTTGCTGGCTTTAGACCCTGTATATTTGCAAAGAAGAATGTCATCGGACTGGTGGTATTGTTGGTACTGGGGGTGGATTTTTTTTCCGGCATTAGTATCTGTATCTGTTGGTTTGGAGTGGAGGCCATCGACTGTGGTTCCACTCCAGGAATGACTGGATTTGGTGTACGATTTCTGCCATTTCCTGCCAGTTTTTTTTTCCTTCCTGGCACTAAAAAACCTCTCCCTCTTGAGTGGTTGTGGCTACCCAGGTTTTCCCATGGCCTGAATGTTTTGTATCTTTTTGTACCCTTTAGATGGTGTGCCTAGCAATTTAGGTTATAGCACAGTCTTTCCTGTACTGAAGAGGTACACATTTCAGGGTGAAAAAGCTTACAGGAAGGGAGTTTGCATTTTCCTGTTGTCATATGGGCATGGCATTTTCTAGGGTGGTCATAGTTGCACGTCCCGTCTGTTTTTCCATATTTCCCATGTCTGCAGATACCAAGTGCATAGTATGTGCACAGGCTTGGTTTCCGTTTGCCTTGGGTTTCTGTGACTGTATTCCCTGTTGGTGCATGCTTCCCTGTCTTATTCTTATCCTCCCTAGCACCAACAATGGAGCTCCCACCAGTTGTTTTTGGTAATATATCGTCACTATAGCTAGTGGAGTCCTCTTGTTTGCTATTTCCTGTGGTATTTCTAGTTTGCAATATTGGTTTTATCTTATCTTTGACTACACTTGTTTCCCCACTACGGCTCCTGTCCCCTATGAGGTCATTTATATGTATTCCTTCCTGCGTATAATTCCCGACTACCTGGACAAAATCTCCAGCATCACCATTACTGTCTCCCAGGACAGCACCTCCAGCTTCACCATTACTGTCTCCCAGGACAGCACCTCCAGCTTCACCATTACTGTCTCCCAGGACAGCACCTCCAGCTTCACCATTACTGTCTCCCAAGACAGCACTATCAGCCCCACATTTACTGACTACCAGGACATCACCTCCAGCCTTACAGTTTCTGACTACATGGCCAGTATCAAGGGCAGTACCATTCAGCCCAGACTTTTTATGTTCCCATCTGTTGTAGAAAGCTTCCAGGTTGTCTATGAAAGCAGCTTTGATGTCATCCTCTTTTAATACCCTTGTGATTTTAGTCCACAGATTTTCCTCATTTGGGCATACCCAAAAACACTTCCCTGTTTTAATACTGCTTGTAGCTAGTTCTTGGATATCTGCACAAGGGGCGTGACACCAATTTCCACAAAAATGACAATTTATCCATGTGGAAGCCCGTTTGTTTGACTGCAGACTATACAGAGCTTCATAATGATTTGAGTGGTTGATTTACTGTAATTCTACTAGCAACCTCTTGAATACTCTATTAATAACCTCCTTAAATGAAGCCCTAGCTATTTGTATTTCTATTTCTAACTAATTGGACAGCTTACCGTGTATGTTCCTGATTTATATTTATTGTTTGTGTTTGATAAGGGCGCCTAGAACCCCATCCGTTTACAGTCTGCTTTATTGTCCAACGAATCCGTTTGAAACCAGTCAAGGGTTCGGACCATCAAGGGTTCGGACCAGTCGATCTGATCTGATCAGTGGGTCACTTATTTAAAACATACTAGTCGGTGATTTGGGCTAACACATGAAGGATCTACTTGAAATTATCTACCCGAGTAATATGTGATTTGATTGATACAAAAGTATAACTTGCGTGTTGAAGAGCCGGTGATTTCTGGCAGCACCTACAGTGACGAACGGTCGAGCCTCAACCCTTGTTTATCAATCGCTGTATCTAGCTTTTCTAGTTTTTTTTTTTTTCGTCTCCACCACAATAAATGCTATATTATCACTATAGTTGACTGGTGGAAATTTTGGAGGAAGGACGCTTTTTCTGTAGTAATAATTGCTTCTCGTTGTGTATATTGCGACCGCTGGTAACAACAGGTTATATGAAATTCACAGTATATGTCTGGTATTTCAAGAAAAAGAAACTAATGAAAGTCACTCCACTCCACTAAGTACCATTATAATACTGGTTAGTTGCTACTACAACACTGTATTCTGCTATTCACTGGTATCACTAGATTATATGCGAGTACACTAGCAGGCCAGGAAGATTATTAAAAACAGCTGACCTGTGGTAAGTTTCTGGCGACTTCTGGCACCTGCCTCTATAGGCTTATCACTTCATTTACAAATTCACCTGTTTTCAAATGACACTTTAGCCTTTATCATCTATATACTAGGGAGCCACTGTAGTATACACTATACACTATGTATACACAATGTTATCAGGGAGACTTTCTTTCCTCTGACAAAGAAAAGTTCTATTATTATTATTTTGCACACGGAACACAGGCCTATGATTCCCCTCTGGCAGTAAACTCTGCTAGGTAGAAGATTTTTCCTAAAAATTTTTTTTTTTACCTATTGTCAGCAGCAAGCCATTTAGATGAAAATTACAATGGTATGTTTTCTAAGAAAATGAATTGTGTAAATTGAGAATGGTTGGGTATCTTACCTTCATAGTGGTGAGGGCCATCACAGTAGTGGGAGCCATGCCACCAAAGGCCAGATCCAGTCGGGCCACCTCACTTGAGCCAGGTTGTAGCCTGACTCGGAAACCCGCATTCACGATAGCTATGTCGTCATCCCGTCGACGTGCCTGCTTGTACCCCAGGAAGTACTCATCCTGTGGAGCAGAATACTCATCCTGAAGAGCAGAGTACACTGTACTCATCCTGACCAAGACATGTGCTTAGTAAGGCAGATAACACACCTGTAGTCATGTATAAGGTACACAAGTTTTGCTGACATACGGATGCAGTGACATATCATTATAACAATTTAATGCACAAGGAGCTATGAAAATTCCATCCTATGTTTGCTAATTCGTTGAATATGTCAGCGACAATGGCTACGTCAAATAAGAATCTAAAGAGTGTGAGAAAGGTGCACCGATCAACCTACCTGCTGAGTGTAAGGGATGTGCACTGATCAACCTGCCTGCTGAGTGTAGGGGATGTGCACTGATCAACCTACCTACTGAGTGTGAGAGATGTGCACTGATCAACCTACCTGCCTAGTGTAGGGGATGTGCACAGAGAGCAGAACCTCATCAGGCTGGACAGTGTTGCGTCTGTAGCCAGTGAAGAAGTGCTGGTCCATCACCACTTGCCGTGCGCCTCTGACTTTTCACATAACAGGACATTGAGTTATAATCATAATTTATTTTTATTTTACATTTATATAAAGCTCTCAACCCATGTGGGCTCCTCAGAGCAAGAGAGAGAGAGAGAGAGAGAGAGACTATCTTAGTCTGCAAACAGCGAGACAAGCAATATTGTCGTACCTTGAGTTTACCGTTTTTTTTTCTTAAAGCTACATAAAGATGTCTGATTAGTCATTTCATTTTTGCTTTCCAAAGCTCTGTTAAATAAATAAGAGCTTGGCATCTCTCTCCCCTCAAAGTTTCCAGCATATATCTTGTGGGGAACACCGAACTATGGAACACCCTTATTTTAAACAACATAAAGGCAAGTGATTCATTAAAAACTGTCATTATTATCATCATTGAATTCAGTGATAAACCCAGAAGGATCATACACTTGATAAAGCTCTACAGAGAGTGCAATGTTGTCCCAATACAAGTGTCTGCAACCATGTTTTTTCTTCACGAACTTCCTGCACCATAAATGTAGGTTTAAGAGCATCTATTTTAGTGTCAAACATGGCAGGTCATACTCAGTGGTATATACCATATTTTCTGACATACAAGGCGCACGAGTAAATAACATGTGTTTCTAAACAGTTGTAAAGTAATGTTAGTAAACAACTGATAAAGCCTAACCTTGACAATGACCTTGAGCATACAAGGCACACGCTGATTTTCCAAGACTTTTTGTGGGGAGAAAACGCACCTTATATGCTGGAAAATATGGTATTTAATGTATTTTTAATAAGCTAGAGTGAGGGGTGACCTCTACTGACCTTGGCTGTGGAGTGTGAGGATGGAGCCAGCAGCCATGAGTAATGGGTTGAGGTCACTAATAGGTGACCCGGTCATGATGTTGCCACCGATAGCCTGCAATATCCTCAATTATTATTTAATATTTTACTGACTCGCAAAAGTCTGGCAGCTTGAAACTATGGCAAGGCAAACATATAACAGACAGGTACACAGTTTTCATAATATTCATCTGATTAGGTATGGTGGCTTGCGGCTCAAATCCAGCTCAATCTGTAGGACCCAGGTTCGATCCCAGCAAGAGTGGAACCCCATACTCGGTACCAGACAACGTCATACTCACAGCGGTGTTCCTGATCTGCTTTCCGGCAAACCATCTCAGCATCTCCAGTATGGCCGAGAACACCCGTGTCTGGTATTCTGTTACAGAGAACATTAATCATCAAAGTATCTCTAGCATAGCGGAGAACACCAGTTTCTGGTGTTCTCCAACACAGATCATTACTCAACTTCAGAATAACTGAGAATATCCATGACTGGTATTCTGTGAATGAAGAATAAGAGACCATGTGACTGAACTGTCCACATGAAAGATAAGTATGGAATAAAGTCCTGATTTTTTTTTTTTAGCAGTGACAACTCGCAATAATAAATTCAAGTTGGATTACTTGAGATTTGAATGATATAGGAAACTGCTGGTTAAATACTAGAGATGCAGAAGAGTGGAATAAACTGCTAAGAAGCAACAATGACCATAATACATCGAGTAATTTTAAAATAAATCTAAATTTTTAACGAGTCACAGTTCTCAACCACGATATGAAGATTTTTTTTTTATTTTCATCTCATTAGTGGTGGAAGGTTCCACTGCTGCAACTAATCACAATTCACACAATACCTGGTCTGCTGACCTGACCAACGGACCTGGCTTGATGTTGACTTCGGTGTGGAGTGTATCCTCCAAGGTGGTGAGAGTCACAGAGGCACCAAAAACAATGCCAGTCTCCTTGACCTGCACTGAAGTGAGCTCCTCCACCTTGGTGGGGTTGATCAGCACAGGATACACCTGATTCTTGAACTTCACCTCAACACCTGATAAAGTGGGAAAAACAAAAGAGGTAATGTTATGTATTAAGTTCAGATATTCAATCACAGAGCACTGTTATGTTGTATTACACCAATAATTCAAATGCAAAATGTATTCAATCACAGAGCACTGTTATGTTGTATTACACCAATAATTCAAATGCAAAATGAAAAAAACTTTATACGACTGTAAACAATACAATTGAAAAACTTGTTATGTCCGGTCTCATGCTGAAAAGAGTGTTAAGGAGGCGAGGATATCTCTTTGTATCTAAAAGAATAAAATTACCCTTGTCCCCTCTTCCATATTTAGTTTATCACATATAGTTTTAAGTATCCAGTTGCTGGGGGGTATATGGACAGGGGGGTTTAAGTGGGGAGGTAGGGTGAGTTTAGTATCTGGTGTATTTGTGAGTACTTATATGCCACCTAATAACTTTTTTGAACATCGTGAAACGTTATAAGTGCCTTGAAGCCTCACTTACCAACTTCTGTGTTTCCGACAATGATCTTAGCGTCAGGGTAGAGATTCTTAAGCTCCAGGAGCTGGCTGAGGGAGACTGGTCTATAGAAGATCACCCGGGGACCTCGCACCTCCAGGTATTGTTTGTCCAGATCATCCCGTATCTGATTTTCAAAAATTCAAAACTTCTTAAAATAATATATATAATGCTGAGTAGCTGGCTTCATAATGTGAATATCTAATACCTCAGAGACAAATTAAACTGACTGCCTTTTATCTTTTGGAAGGAAATATTTAGAATACCGCCACACAGGAATTAGGTCAAACAGTACTCTCTCATACAAGTTACATTAATTGGTTACCCAACATTCTATCCACTCACCAGTCATAGCAGCAGTTAAGTCATTTGCAAATCACTACCATCATGGCTACATTATTGGTTGATTACTCACTGATTGGGAGTTATCATATGACAAAGAACCAAGTAGAACAAATTATTCCTGACGATGAAAACACCACCACAATCAGCTCACTGTTCACACAAATTTCACCTTCAACTCCGGAGGAAAGATGATCTCTTGGCTGGGGTCGTACGGTTGGAACTGCATTTCGTCGTACAGCAAGTTGCAAGCCTCTGTTGTTTCTCCATTGACACTGTTGGTGACATCATTGACTTTTTCGTCTACTACCTCTGAAAAGAATATTCGTCAACAATAAGTAACAAGAGCAGTTTAGAAATTAGATTATACATCGGGAAAACCCCATTAAGCAAAATAATTAAGTTTCATAACATATATTCTGAAGATGTTGTAAGAGATTAAAAAATTTAGGAATAGCTTTAAGATGTCATCAGCCAGAACAATGAAAAGTATTCACCATTGCAGGATTGGGAGCCACGGAGCTTACAACAATCAGTTTTACCACAGCCAGCAGCAGCGTCTCTGGTCAGGCCACGGAACCCTTCCAGGATGGGTCGGTAGCCCGTACATCTACACAGATTTCCTAGAGAATAACATGGCATTTAATGCTTATCTCTGCTAGACAGTGTTCACTACTACTTGAATTTCTTAAGCTGCCAGTCAGAAATACAAATGGCATCCTCTGACTTGTAAAACCTCAAGTAATATGCTAAATTGTAATTTTTTTCATCCTAACAGTCAGTAATATTATTTATATTGTTTATTTTTTTCATTCAATAAGGAAGGTGTACATCACACATGGATAATTCTGTACTGTAAACGTTTCTTGTTTTTAAATTAGATTTTTTGCAAGTTTCCAGTAGTCAATAAAAGATGAAAGTCAAAAACACATACTCCTAATATAAACATTAATATACTAAATGTTAACATTTCCCTTACAAAAATTAGTGAGTAATGCGCATATTAAGTCTTATATTCACATTATAAAATTACTGCTGGACTCACCCGTGAAGTACTCATCCAGGTCTGCCATGGAGGGTTTGGGGTTGTTTCTAAGGAGTGTGTACATTGACATCACAATGCCTGGGGTGCAGAAACCACACTGGGAACCGTGGGCTCGAGCAATGCGATCCTGCACAGCGTGTAGACCAGTGGTAGTGGAGCCGATACCTTCTACAGTGGTGACAGCCAGACCATGGACAGAAGCCACAGGGGCCAGGCACGCATTGACTGAGAAGTGCCTGTGGGGCATGACTGCCTATATCACATACGGTGAGACAACAAGAGTTAATGTGGCCACACAGTGGCACATGTTTAATATAACTTAAGTGGAAAAAATAAAGTAGCAAAACACAATACAGGGCTATTGTACATGAATGGTACAATACATGTGTTGAATGGTACTACAGTATACCTGGAGATTACCTGGAGAGAGTTTCGGGGGTCAATGCCCCCGCGGCCCGGTCTGTGACCAGGCCTCCTGGTGGATCAGCGCCTGATCAACCAGGCTGTTGCTGCTGGCTGCACGCAAACCAACGTACGAGCCACAGCCAGGCTGATCAGGAACTGACTTTAGGTGCTTGTCCAGTGCCAGCTTGAAGACTGCCAGGGGTCTGTTGGTAATCCCCCTTATGTGTGCTGGGAGGCAGTTGAACAGTCTCGGGCCCCTGACACTTATTGTATGGTCTCTTAACGTGCTAGTGACACCCCTGCTTTTCATTGGGGGATGGTGCATCGTCTGCCAAGTCTTTTGCTTTCGTAGTGAGTGATTTTCGTGTGCAAGTTCGGTACTAGTCCCTCTAGGATTTTCCAGGTGTATATATAATCATGTATCTCTCCCTCCTGCGTTCCAGGGAATACAGGTTTAGAACCTCAAGCGCTTCCAGTAATTGAGGTGTTTTATCTCCGTTTTTGCGCGCCGTGAAAGTTCTCTGTACATTTCTAGGTCGGCAATTTCACCTGCCTTGAAAGGTGCTGTTAGAGTGCAGCAATATTTCCAGCCTAGATAGAACAAGTGTCCTGAAGAGTGTCATCATGGGCTTGGCCTCCCTAGTTTTGAAGGTTCTCATTATCCATCCTGTCATTTTTCTAGCAGATGCGATTGATACAATGTTATGGTCCTTGAAGGTGAGATCCTCCGACATAATCACTCCCAGGTCTTTGACGTTGGTGTTTCGCTCTATTTGTGGCCAGAATTTGTTTTGTACTCTGATGAAGATTTAATTTCCTCATGTTTTTCCATATCTGAGTAATTGAAATTTCTCATCGTTGAACTTCATATTGTTTCTGCAGCCCACTGAAAGATTTGGTTGATGTCCGCCTGGAGCCTTGCAGTGTCTGCAATGGAAGACACTGTCATGCAGATTCGGGTGTCATCTGCAAAGGAAGACACGGTGCTGTGGCTGACATCCTTGTCTATGTCGGATATGAGGATGAGGAACAAGATGGGAGCTAGTACTGTGCCTTGTGGAACAGAGCTTTTCACCGTAGCTGCCTCGGACTTTACTCTGTTGACGACTACTCTCTGTGTTCTGTTAGTGAGGAAATTATAGATCCATCGACCGACTTTTCCTGTTATTCCTTTAGCGCGCATTTTGTGCGCTATTACGCCATGGTCACACTTGTCGAAGGCTTTTGCAAAGTCTGTATATATTACATCTGCATTCTTTTTGTCTTCTAGTGCATTTAGGACCTTGTCGTAGTGATCCAGTAGTTGAGACAGACAGGAGCGACCTGTTCTAAACCCATGTTGCCCTGGGTTGTGTAACTGATGGGTTTCTAGATGGGTGGTGATCTTGCTTCTTAGGACCCTTTCAAAGATTTTTATGATATGGGATGTTAGTGCTATTGGTCTGTAGTTCTTTGCTGTTGCTTTACTGCCCCCTTTGTGGAGTGGGGCTATGTCTGTTGTTTTTAGTAACTGAGGGACGACCCCCGTGTCCATGCTCCCTCTCCATAGGATGGAAAAGGCTCGTGATAGGGCTTCTTGCAGTTCTGATGAACACAGAGTTCCATGAGTCTGGCCCTGGGGCAGAGTGCATGGGCATGTCATTTATCGCCTGTTCAAAGTCATTTGGCGTCAGGATAACATCGGATAGGCTTGTGTTAATCAAATTTTGTGGCTCTCTCATAAAAAATTCATTTTGATCTTCGACTCTCAGTCTGGTTAGCGGCTTGCTAAAAACTGAGTCATATTGGACTTGAGTAGCTCACTCATTTCCTTGCTGTCATCTGTGTAGGACCCATCTTGTTTAAGTAGGGGCCCAATACTGGGCGTTGTTCTCGATTTTGATTTGGCATAGGAGAAGAAATACTTTGGGTTTCTTTCGATTTCTTTTATAGCTTTTAGTTCTTCCCGCGATTTCCTGACTCCTAAAGGATTCTTTTAGCTTAAGTTCGATGCTTGCAATTTCTCTGACCAGTGTCTCCCTGCGCTTTTCAGATATATTGACCTCTTTTAGCCGCTCTGTTATTCTTTTCCGTCGCCTGTAAAGGGAGCGCCTGTCTCTTTCTATTTTACATCTACTCCTTTTTCTTAGAGGAATAAGCCTTGTGCATACATCGAGTGCCACCGAGTTAATCTGTTCTAGGCATAAGTTTGGGTCTGTGTTGCCTTAGTATATCTTCCCAGCTTATATCGGTTAGGACTTGGTTTACTTGGTCCCACTTTATGTTTTTGTTATTGAAGTTGAATTTGGTGAATGCTCCCTCGTGACTAGTCTCATTTTGTCGGTCTGGGGCTCCTCGCATACATGTCTGAACCTCAATTATGTTGTGATCTGAGTATATTGTTTTTGATATGGTGACATTTCTTATCAGATCATCATTGTTAGTGAATATGAGGTCTAGTGTATTCTCCAGTCTAGTAGGCTCTATTATTTGCTGGTTTAAAAATTTAATTTTTGTGCAGAGATTTAAAAGCTCGTGTGAGTGTGAGTTTTCATCAGAGCTGCCTTCTGGTGTTATTACTGCAACAATATTATTTGCTATATTCCTCCATTTTAGGTGCCTTAAGTTGAAATCCCCCAGGAGCAAGATGTTGGGTGCAGGAGCTGGAAGATTTTCCAGACAGTGGTCAATTTTTAACAGCTGTTCCTGGAATTGCTGGATGTTGCATCAGGAGGCTTGTAGACTACCACAATGACTAGGTTTTGGTTCTCGACCTTTACTGCTAAAACTTCCACTACGTCATTTGAGGCATTAAGCAGTTCTGTGCAAACAAGTGACTCTGCAATGTACAGGCCAACCCCCCCCCTTTTGCCTGTTCACTCTGTCACATCTGTATAGGTTGTAACCTGGGATCCATATTTCATTGTCCAAGTGATCCTTTATGTGGGTCTCAGTGAAAGCCGCGAACATTGCCTTTGCCTCTGCAAGCAGTCCACGGATGAAAGGTATTTTGTTGTTTGTTGCTGGCTTTAGACCCTGTATATTTGCAAAGAAGAATGTTATCGGACTGGTGGTATTGTTGGTACTGTACAATTCTTTGAAAGAATTAAGGAAAACTGACATCTGGTGCAAAGTGAAAATAGGCAGAAGCAAGGTTAATCCAGACTATGCCAGGTACTTACTTTACTTTGTCCTTGACACGGTCATATTGAGAGAGCATAACTGTGCAGGCACCGCAGCCGCCCTCAGCACACCCAAGCTTCGTGCCGCACAGCCGAACTATCCTGACGTTAAGGAATATACACACCAGTATCCAGCAGAATCGTTCTCTCACGGCTTCAAGAGTCAGTACAGTTATACAAGCACTTAGGCCTGATGTAGTTTTTATGCATCAACATGTTTAACTTGGTGTTTGTCTGTGTTTCGTTTAGTCTGGCTTCTTATCTGCTAATCTCACATCAGTCATTACCTACTACTCACATTAGTACTTACTATTCCTCTCATCTAGTACCCACCACTTAAGATAGTCCGTGCTATCTACCTTGGATAGTGCCTACTATTCCTTTCTACTGTTACCTAAGTATCCATTAGTGTTGAACTCGTTTTAATTTTATATTTATTTCCGCTCTCTGATGTTACAAAAGGATACGTTTGTTGCGGAGGTAGGTGAGGAGAGTGTACTCTGGGTCCACGTTAGCATCTTCTACCTGTAATATATGATGTACCATTAAAAAAACATTACCATGAAAAGGGAGGGCAGTCAGTGGTGTTATTACATTAATTTTTTTGTTGGGTTTAAGGTCTTTTTACATGGGTTTCCCTGGAGAGAGTTCCGGGGGCAACCCCCCCGCGGCCCGGTCTGGACCAGGCCTCCTGGTGGATCAGAGCTGAAAAACCGGGGCTTTTACTGCGGTTTCCGCAAACCAACGTCCCACAGCCCGGCTGTCGGGAACGACTTTAGGTTTTTTCCATGCCAGCTTAAAGATCCCAGGGGTCTGTTGGAAATCCCCCTTATGTATGCTGGGGGCGTTAAAATTCTTGGCCCTGACACTTATTGATGGTCTCTTAACGTGCTGTGACACCCCTGCTTTTCATTGGGGGGATTTTGCATCGTCTGCCAAGTCTTTTGCTTTCTTTAGTGAGTGTTTTTCGTGTGCAATTGGTCCCCCAAAACGGCCACACACCTGTAAATATGTTCCCCCGGGGTCCCCCATTTGGGAATTTTTACCGAATTTTGAAAAACCCTAACTAAGTACAAGCTTTCTGGGATCAGTTTAAACCCCGTGAGACAGGAACGATTTGTCAATGCGTCAAGTTCAGTATTTGCGGTCACAACTCACTCAGAAAATGTCAAAAAATGCAAGTATTTTTTCCCAGTGGATATTAAGACCTTCTGGAGAAATCCCTGACTTTGCTGTGTAAAAAACATTACCACTTGTGATTGTTTTTTGTGTGTGTGTGTGTGTGGGTGTGTGTGTGTGGTGGGTTTTTGGTGTGTGTGTGTGTGTGTGTTTTTTGGGGTTTGTGTAGTGTGTGTGTGGTGTGTGTGGTGTGTGTGTGTTGGGGGTGTGTGTGTGTTTGTGTTGTGTGTGTGAGTTTTTTGGTGTGTGTGTGTGATTTTGGGGTGTGGGTTGTGTATGAGTGTGTGTGTGTGTATGAGTGTGTTTTGGCGTGTGTGGTTTTGGGGGTGTGTGTGCGCGCGGCGTGTGTGTGTGGTGTGTGTGTGTGTGTGTGTGTTGTTGTGTGTGTGTGTGGTTTATGTGTGTGTGTATGAAATTTTTATGTGTGTGTGTGTGTGTGTTGGGGTGTGTGTGTGTGTGTGTGTGTGTTGAGACAGAGAGTCAGCAACAAATTTCACCCTAACTCACTACGTTGGACCGGGTTTTGGAAGTGTGAATTGCCATTACTCTAAAAATTTTTCATGATTGCAGAGTTAAATAAGTAACATTCTTACAGTTTCATTTTCCTTTGTAAATTGTGAGTTATTTCTTTGTAACTTGTAGTTCTTACCTTGTACCCATTAGCCATCAAAACCTTTTGGAGCCCGGGCCCCGGACCCCATTGTGTACCTCTGTAATCTGTAAATACCTTTTTAATTGTCTGATTGTGGACAGCCCACCTGGAGGTTCATTACCTTTGTAAATTGTGAGTTTATTACCTTTTTAAATTGTGAATTCATTACCTCTGTAACTTGCTCAGCTATCAAAACTTTGAGGCCCAGTCCCTGGACCCATTATGTACCTCTGTAATCTTTTGACTACCGCCCACAGGATGGGTATGGGGTGCATAATAAACATATTAAACTAACTAAGCTCAAGGGTAAAGCCTTAGACCTGGTCCGGCACTACCAGATTACTGACACTAATTACCAACATGCCGAAGACCAATTAGAAGACATGTTCGGCAACACTGACGAGATAAAAGTGGCCATACTTTATCGGTTGTTGGATCTAGAGGCTTGCCGACATGACCGTCAAAGCCTAGAGAAGTTCCGTATTGAAATTATGAGCTTGACAAATAGTTTCAGAGATTTGCATGATGAGGATGATTCAGAATGGGTCCTTAGCCAGGTGATTCAGAGGAAACTGGCTAGCACTACAGTGCATGAGTTACACTTAAAATATCAGACGAATAGGTTCACGATACAACAAATCGTTGAGGGGTTGGGAGATCTCGTTTCTCATTTGAGTATAGGTGTGAGAGAAGAGTCACCACCATCGCCACATAAAAACCCAGAAAGTTGCTCAAAGATCTCGAGAGATCAGTCTAAAGCTCGTACGACTAACTTTGGAGTGTACTATGGTAAAGAAGTGTCTAAGGTAAGAACCTCTAAGCAGAACCTCAGAGGCACTCATGCCAAAATATGCGTGTTCTGCGAAGGCGAACACGCTAGCACGAGTTGCCCGGAGTATATAACACTGAGCAGTAGGCAACAGAGACTAAGGGAATTGAGACTGCTTCAAGTGTTGTGGGGAACACTTTGCGAGAGACTGCGGCACCCAGCTCAGTGAGTGTCGAGTCTGTTGCAAAGGTAAGCACCATACTGCACTATGTCCCAATAATTTAAGGGAACCCCAAGCTAGTAGGGATATCTCTCAGGTAGAGATAGAAAGTGAGTCTGAGCCTGAAATGGTAGCCAGCGTGATTAGTGGGAGTGAAGTCTTTAATCCGAGTGAGAATCACGGAGGCGCTGCCCTACCTACAGTCATGGCAAAAGTTGTGAATGGGCACAGGTCCGAAACAACCCGATTATTCTTTGACCCAGGAGCACAAGTATCCTTGATAACAAAGAAGTTGGTGGCTAAATTAAAGTTGAAGGCCACAAAGAAAGTTAGTATGATGTTGGGAGGGGCTATAAGTCAGGTCCCACCCAAATCTTATGATGTGGTGGGTGTCACAGTCAAATTAGGAGGACATCGTAGAGACATTACAGCCTTGGTGGTAGAGACATTACCCACGGCAATTACAGCGAGAGGTCTTGCTGCAGCAGCTAAGCGATTGAAAGACCTTGACGTGAAGCTGGCAGACCAGGGAATTACCACTGACACGGTCAGAAATGTAGGTATCCTGGTGGGAGCCAATCATATAGATGACTTCCTGTCTACACGATGGACGTTTAAGGAAGGAATTGGTTTATACAGATCCCCAGTAGGATACATCATAGGCAGCAGGATTCCACCTGAATTCCCTGCCACGCCAGATAGAGGAGATGCTGTCCCCATGATAGTTAGTTTAATATGTATATTATGCACCCCATACCCATCCTGTGGGCGGTAGTCAAAAGATTTCAGAGGTGAGGATATATTACCAAAAACAACTGGTGGGAGCTCCATTGTTGGTGCTAGGGAGGATAGAAGTAAGACAGGGAAACATGCACCAACAGGGAATACAGTCACAGAAACCCAAGGCAAGCGGAAACCAAGCCTGTGCACATACTATGCACTTGGTATCTGCTGGCATGGGAAATCTGGAAAAACAGATGGGACGTGCAACTATGACCACCCTAGAAAATGCCATGCACATATGACAACAGGAAAATGCAAACTCCCTTCCTGTAAGCTTTTTCACCCTGAACTGTGTACCTCTTCAGTACAGGAAAGACTGTGCTATAACTTAAATTGCCAGGCATACCATCTAAAGGGGACAAAAAGATACAAAAAATCCGGGCCATGGGAAAACCTGGGTAGCCACAGCCACTCAAGAGGAGAGGTTTTTTTAGTGCCAGGAAGGAAAAAAAAACTGGCAGGAAATGGCAGAAATCGTACACCAAATCCAGTCATTCCTGGAGTAGAACCACAGTCGATGGCCTCCACTCCAAACCAACAGATACAGATACTAATGCCGGAAAAAAAATCCCTCCCCAGTACCAACAATACCACCAGTCCGATAACATTCTTCTTTGCAAATATACAGGGTCTAAAGCCAGCAACTAACAACAAAATACCTTTCATCCGTGGACTGCTTGCAGAGGCAAAGGCAATGTTCGCGGATTTCACTGAGACCCACATAAAGGATCACTTGGACAACGAAATATGGATCCCAGGTTACAACCTATACAGATGTGACAGAGTGAACAGGCAAAGAGGGGGGGGGGTGGCCTGTACATTGCAGAGTCACTTGTTTGCACAGAACTGCTTAATGCCTCAAATGATGTAGTGGAAGTTTTAGCAGTAAAGGTCGAGAACCAAAACCTAGTCATTGTGGTAGTCTACAAGCCTCCGGATGCAACATCCCAGCAATTCCAGGAACAGCTATTAAAAATTGACCACTGTCTGGAAAATCTTCCAGCTCCTGCACCCAACATCTTGCTCCTGGGGGATTTCAACTTAAGGCACCTAAAATGGAGGAATACAGCAAATAATATTGTTGCAGTAATAACACCAGGAGACAGCTCTGATGAAAACTCACACTTACACGAGCTTTTAAATCTCTGCAAAAAATTCAATTTAAACCAGCAAATAATAGAGCCTACTAGAATGGAGAATACACTAGACCTCATCTTCACTAACAATGATGATCTGATAAGAAATGTCACCATATCAAAAACAATATACTCAGATCACAACATAACTGAGGTTCAGACATGTATGCGTGGAGCCCCAGACCGACAAAATGAGACTAGTCACGAGGGAGCATTCACCAAATTCAACTTCAATAACAAAAACATAAAGTGGGACCAAGTAAACCAAGTCCTAACCGATATAAGCTTGGAAGATATACTAAGCAACACAGACCCCAACTTATGCCTAGAACAGATTAACTCGGTGGCACTCGATGTATGCACAAGGCCTATTCCTCTAAGAAAAAGGAGGAGTAGATGTAAAATAGAAAGAACAGGCGTCCCTTTTCAGGGGACGGGAAAAAAAAG